AAATGTTGCATAAAGTGTCTTTGTAGGAAGTGGTTCATATGTGCACGTTAAATATACAACCAGTAATTAGTTATTTGTGTGTGTGTGAAAAGTCATCTTTGTTATTCAACATATACACAGACAGGATGATTAGTGAGGTCAAGGTAAGACTCAAGAAGGGGGTTATGAACTTAGTTTATAGAACAAACACAAGTAATGTATGGTATCCAGAGAATAATATATATAACACATGCAGACAAGTCAGTATTTTTACCAGTTAGAGGTTCATGTAGCTACTCTTTCACTCGCACTATGTCTGTTCATCTTTTCAATCTACTCTATCCTTTCTTCACCAGTCTGTCAATTGTTTCATGACTATGGTCAAACCATCTCGATAAAGTATATAGTACAGTATACTCGATCTGGTGATGTACAAACTTTTGGACACTGAATCTTTCCATTAAAATTGAATCACTTGCCCAGTCTATTCTCCAAACAACACGTGCATCTCTATTTTTAATTTCTACTGGTCCAGTTATTTGTTTATGTTCTTTCCACATATATGGTTGTTCAAAGTACAGCCATTAATTTATGGTTGTACACCTGCTCAGTCCAGCTAGAGTCGCAAATTTGTATACATTTGTTATAATCAAAATATCACCATAATAAAGTCCTAACAGGTGAAATTTAATTTTCCATAAAGCATAATCTAAATTTGGTGTTATGTATATACTTTGTGAACTTGCAACGTAACACTAGTTTTTTAATTCGGATATATAATGTTAAAGTGTGTATGAGTATTTTTGTCCAAAATGTATTTGGAACAGAAGGCACCCTCATGTCCACTAAATGATACCCATGTTTAGGTCACAGATTGTGCTATAATTTAAAATTGCACCACGTTTTACCTGATGTTGTGTAACATCATATACAGCTGTGCTTTAAATTTTATAACAAAATTCTAAATATAGAGCTTTGGAGCTCTAAGAGTTCGTGGAGAATTATGAATTCTTCTTTGCAAATATTGCATTCTCAAAATATATTAACGATAAAACATGAAGGAATGTTGGTTAACACCTGAACATATTAACCACTTCCAGTTTCTCTTCATTCAAATACAAGCACACAGATGTACAATATTTTAGTGATCTTACCTTACAGCACAGTTTCCTCCAAAAGTGTCAAGATCCTTATCCTTGGTAGTAAATCTCTGGCCATTGACAAAGCTGAAGCCATCACCAGCATCTCCAGTATACCCATTAACCTCAACTTTATAAGAGGCACTCCTGTCATGGACATAAAAGAATTGGTACTGTGCCCATCGGATGGCATTGTCAAAGTCTGCCAGGTCAAAGTGTATTTGGTTGAGTGTCTGCTCAGTGAGAGCGTGAATGTGGTCGAGTCCAAGCCAAAACTCGCCAGAGAGATTACCAAAGCCCAAGGCGTATTCCATCCATGTGCGGTAGAATTCTTCCCGCGGGAGTATATCTTCTCGACGCTGAATTACAGTCCATCCTCCTCCATTAGAGTCCATATCACAATAGACACGAACAGGACGTTTTGGGCAGCAGTCGTACGGATAGATGGTGTAAACACCACTGGTCTTGTGGCCGTGATCTTGCAGTTCACGGCAATTACGATTTTGGAAGCCAACCCCTAGCCACAAAGGCTCTGTCAGGTACGAATTAACAATGGTGTCCTCTGCCGCCACCACCACAAAACATACTCCATGTACCCACTAACACCAGCATCCACAGTGGCTTGCCCATCATCCACTAGATAAACCTGAAATATATGAGATTAATAAATACTTATTTTTAAAAGTCATCAAGTATAGTTCCTCTATTATACTTTATGTGTTACCTGACATTGTTCAGGCAACGGAGGTCAACTGGGTCGACGTAGTGCTTTAATCAATCTAGCATGAAGGCTGACACTAAATAACTTCTGACTCACCAGTCCAGAGATCTAGGAACTTGGCCAGCCACCTGCCAACAATTTCACTGAGGGGAGCCACAATGGGACTGACCCAACCTGACCATGTTGGGCACACAACCTACAGCAATCACTGTGCGAAGTTGGATCAGGGTAGTCTCCAAACATCAGGCTTCAGACTCCGTAGTATAGGTGTATGCAAGGCAACATACATTGCTTTCATATCCTAGACCAGTGATGCAAGTAAATTTGTGAGATCTTTCCAGAGCACTTAAGAGACTATTGGGATTCAGATCCTAAATTCACCGAAGGAGTCAGCCAATGGGATACTCTTGCAGGCTCTACACGCCAACTCCAGATGACTGCAATAGGCTCATAATGGAGAACATTGCACCAGCAATGCTGGAGGCAGCTTCTGGAAAGAATACAGCATTCCTAACTGTGCAAGCCCCTCATGTTGGGGACTTCCTGTTGGCTGTCCCTAATTCCACCTTTGGCACCCATCTGGGCCATCAGGCCTTATTTATTGGTGTTGCTCTGATCTTTGCCATCCCTATCTCCACCGATTACTGGTGTATCTGCAACTATTCATTAACAGACCAATGTGGCAACCATATCTTGAGTTATCTTGAGTTATCTTGAGATGATTTCGGGGCTTTAGTGTCCCCGCGGCCCGGTCCTCGACCAGGCCTCCACCCCCAGGAAGCAGCCCGTGACAGCTGACTAACACCCAGGTACCTATTTTACTGCTAGGTAACAGGGGCATAGGGTGAAAGAAACTCTGCCCATTGTTTCTCGCCGGCGCCCGGGATCGACCACGGGACCACAGGATCACAAGTCCAGCGTGCTGTCCGCTCGGCCGACCGGCTCCCATGGTCACATATGTAACAATTCAGGAAGATTGACAAACATAAAACAGTCAATGACATTACGAGGGTTGACTACAGCCGAGTGTCCAGCACAAAGGGAGCCTCAAATGTGCAGACCAAACAACAATCACAAGTGCCCGAAAGGAGCTACCCACTAACCTTGGAGGGATGACAAATAGGTTGTGTGGGACTTCATGTGTGCATCTATATTGGCTAATACCAAACTATGGCACATTTAAACTGAAGGTGGTGGGGCTGCCACCTTCAGAGAGACTAAGAAAACCATTAAGTATGTGAACTTTAGCTCAGGACTGCCGTGGGTGAACTGATTCCTGTCGCCCAAGAAACCACCCACATCACTTCTGCGGACTAAAATGTGATTAGTAAGACAGAACCGCCGTTTGGAAAGGCAGAGTCAAAGAACTAACAGCTGAATCCATCAAGCACAAATAGATGAATACAAATAGGGTTATTGCACACTACTCAAACACCAGTAAACTATTTTAAGTGAAGGTTTCAACTATTTTAAATAAAGGTATTGCTGTAATGTATACCTTGTCATGGTTGGGACCCAAACCTTACTGTCTCCTTCCACTCTGTACATAACTTAGTAAAACATAAATTAAATAGGGATCATATATGATACAGCTTTCCACCGGGGAAACAAAAAATGGGCCGGGTGCGCTCAACAGATGGCGTTGACATCGTCACACCTCCCTTCCAAAAAGAATTAAAGTCGGGTGTTAAAATGGGCGGGTCGATATTCACTCGGTCAGGGGTGGTGTAACAATTAATATCAATTACTACTACTACTATAATGAGCTAAAAATTAAACACTTGCCGAGGGGAGACCTGGCATGAAGTTAAACACTTGTCAAGAGTGGACACAGTATCTTGTTCAATACTTGCCGAGGGTTAACCCGGTACGTGGTTCAACACTCACAGCTTGCGAGGGTAGAGGTTATGTTGGAGATGAAATGAGGCTGTGCCGCTATATATATAGTGGTGCTCATTGTGTTTCTCTCACGTCTCGCCTAATACAATGTAAAGTCTGTCCTGACATTCTCAGAAAGAACTCCTCTGCCCCGCCTACCACCTTGGGAAACCCTGCTAGGTTGGGGAATCCACACATTCTCCATCTCCACAATCCACCCAAATTTTATTGTAGTAATTATTTTTTTCTTGTAACTTTGACTGGTCGGTATAAACACGGTGTTGCTTCTTACAAGTCGGCATTCGGTCAACGACAGTAAGTGTTTGGACGGTGTCTCTTTATTCCTATTTCCAGCTTCTATCCTGCCATCATTCCACTTCCAAGTGCTATATCATAATGCTGGCTTAGCGCTTTCTCCAAGCAATTACCTTGCACCTTTGTCTCTTAACATGAAAATCCTTGTATACAAAATAGGATATTTGTTTAAAATCATATGCATCTGTTTAATTGTTTGTAATAATATATTAGTGCAGTGGGTGTAGTTTGCTAAATGAACACAAATCTTTGTGTGGGTTTTACATCAGCTCATAGTCTCCGACTTTTCACCCCCCCCCCCCCCATTACCAAAAGGTTCCCCTCCCAAGCCCTACTGTGGAGTCCCCAAAGAGACCTTCCCGGGCCTCCTGCGTCGCCATAGAAACCATTTCGGGCCTCCTGCATCGTCACAGAGACCCTCTCAGGCCCTCTTCGTTGCTACAGAGACCCCCGCACCCCCTGCGTCGCTCTAAAGACAGCCAGGCCCCCCCCCCCTGCGTCGTTACAGAGACCCTTCCGAAATACCTGCGTCACTACAGAGACCCCAATGACCACCTGCGTCACTGCCGATACTTCATGGACCACCTGCATCACTACAAATACCCCATGGACCACCTGCGTCACTACAAAGACCCCATGGACCACCTGCGTCGCTACACAGACCTCATGGACCACCTGTGCCGCTACAGAGACTCCCGTGGACCACCTGTGCCGCTACACAGACCCCATGGACCACCTGCGTCACTACAAAGACCCCATAGACCACCTGCGTCACTACAAAGACCCCATAGACCACCTGCGTAACTACAAAGACCCCATGGAACACCTGCGTCACTACAGAGACCCCATGGACCACCTGAGTCACTACATAGACCCCATGGACCACCTGCGTCACTACATAGACCCCATGAACCACCTGCGTCACTACATAGACCCCATGGACCACCTGCGTCACTACTGAGACCCCCATGGACTACCTGAGTCACTACAGAGACCCCCAAGGACCACCTGCGTCACTACACAGACCCCATGGACCACCTGCGTCACTACAGACACCCCCAAGGACCACCTGCGTCACTACACAGACCGGATGGACCACCTGCGTCACTACACAGACCCCATGGACCACCTGCATCACTACACAGACCCCATGGACAACCTGCGTCACTACACAGACCCCATGGACCACCTGCGTCACTACACAGACCCCATGGACCACCTGCATCACTGCACAGACCCCATGGACCACCTGCGTCACTACAGACACCCCCAAGGACCACCTGCGTCACTACACAGACCGGATGGACCACCTGCGTCACTACACAGACCCCATGGACCACCTGCGTCACTACACAGACCCCATGGACCACCTGCATCACTACACAGACCCCATGGACCACCTGCGTCACTACAGACACCCCCAAGGACCACCTGCGTCACTACACAGACCGGATGGACCACCTGCGTCACTACACAGACCCCATGGACCACCTGCATCACTACACAGACCCTATGGACCACCTGTGTCACTATACAGACCCCATGTACCACCTGTGTCACTACACAGACCCCATGGACCACCTGTTCACTACAGAAATCCCATGGACCACCTGCGTCGCTACAGATACCCCCATGGACCACCTTCGTCACTACAAAGACCCCATGGACCACCTGCCTCACTACAGAAACCCCATGGACCACCTGCGTCACTACAGAGACCCCATGGACACTGTAAATTTCTTCTGCA